AAATCAAAGTATTTTGACTCACCTAGAAACGGCTTAATTTGGCGTATGAGATCCGCTGTGGATTTTTTAACCTTATTCATAACTGTGTCTATTGATTTATATTTATTTCCTCATATGGTGCTGTTCGCATGTGGGGGTATTCATCTCGTCCAAATAGTCTGATTTGTCTAATATTACTGTTGCATTTCCTTTGTCCACCTTTGTGATTGCTATATCCTTGTTATTCTTAAGGTGTTTTAGGGCTTCTATCTCAGGTTTTGTCAAGTTAGGCTTTCCACGTTTTTATCGTTTTAATGTAAGTGCACCTTGTGTCCGTACTTCGTCAGCTGTTGTTTTGTCTACCCCACTTAGTGCTATTTCTATTTTAGGAAAGACATCCTCGGGTTTCAGCTTGTTTACTGCTGGATTGAAATTTAGTCCCTTTTCTAATACACGTATTTCTATGGGCTTAACACTTGTGTTGTGAGATTGATAACCCACTTTCTTCCTATTCGTCGTAGGGGTAGTGGAATTTTCCAGATATATCTGGATGGACGGATAGCTGCTACCTTTGCCAATGCACACCTGATATCTATTGTCGGCCTGCAAAACTTGGGCTACCGATATCACATGCTGAAAATTCCATTTTTGTACCGAAAATACAGTGTGGAATCAAGCTGTAATCAAAACAAAAAAGCACACGAAGCCTTCCTGAGGATGGACAGGTGTTGAATCACTCCTATTACACGTATTCTCTCTCAGTTAATTCGATAAACAAAGCTTCCGTTATCAATCTCTCCCACCATCTTGCTGATACATTAGATTTTAAAACTGTCATCCCATCCCATCCTATTGCGTGGTTGCGTGTAACTGCATGTAGTGCTACAGCTGAACTGTTCTCTAGATTTTTTATCTTATTTGGGTCAACCAATCTAGATTTTGCTAAGTTTTTATGTTTAGCTAGTCTGACTCCACCTGTTCTACTAGTTTGACCTATGTATTTAACCTGACAATCATCACAGACAGGGTATTAGATAAACTAAATTGTTTTGTTTTAATGGTTCTACAGGATCCTTTAACCGACAAAGCTTGTTTGTAATTGAGTTTGTGAGTGGTTTGAATGCCAGCGACTTTTATTACTGCCTGCCTTGTTAAGAATTCTCCGCTATAAGGTTTCTGAGGTACCTTCGTTGGATGAAATTACTACGGATGATTTAGATTTCTTATTATTGATTAGCAATATTAGCACACATGGCTTTTATAACAATTAAGGTGTGAATTGCATTAACACTGTTATCATCTGATTTTTTTTTTGTATATCTCATCTCGCATGTCCTTCTTCTCAATATCCTCTATCTATCTATATAAAGACTGAGAACGTGTGAACGTGTATGCAAAGTGTTGATATTGATGTTTAACTAAGCTATACTTATCAACCAATTAGGTTGATTACTTCGCTTTTTCACTCGTTACCGCCACTACCTCGGGTGTAGTAATGAAAGACTAAAAGATATCATTGATATAAGAATAAAACTTATGCACCGTGGTGGTAGAGTATAATTCCACTATGGGTAAAATTCGTTTTGATAAAGTCTTGACAGTGTGTTATACAGTAATGTTTACTGATGACTACGTTTCAAGCACAGTTTATTACTACTCATAATCATATCAAGCTGTTCACTCACACAACTTTCAAACTTCGTTTATATGATTCCATTATTTTCCGTCGCTTGACTTGATTGGTAGTATAGTATTTTCCATATTTCCGGTATGAGTTTTGAGTCATTCCTGTTGCATGTGTTGGGTGTAGATTTTATGAAGGGCAGCAATAAGTAGTACAACAAAAAACCTAAATGATGAAATAAAACCGATAGAAGAACAGCTGGTTGGTGTTAAATAACTAACTATCCTATTAAATCCATTCAGAAGATCAGAAAAGGTAAAACAAAAATAATTGTGAAACTAATAATAATAATAACATAAATAAGAAACAATATAAGCCATCTATTAACAGTTTTACCATATAAGGAGGGAATATCTGAAGCCGTACGTAGGATTCTTAATAAAGCAGGAATTAGGGTGGCATTTAAACCTACAAACTCACTCAGTTAAAACAAGCTCTGTAGGTTAAAGGACCATGTAGACCCAATTAGACAAAATAATGTAATTCACAAAATACCCTGCAATGACTGTGAGTTAAGTCAGCTACATAGGTCAAACTAGTACGCAGTCAGATTGTCAGAACATAAGAATTTAACTAAGGTAAGAATGCTTGACCCCGAGAAGTAATTTAGAAAAAAGGCTCAGCAATTGCACTGCATACATTAACACGCCACACACAATCGGGTGTGAGAGGGTTAAAATTCTAAAAAGTAATCTAGGCAGGTGGAGAGGGAGAGAGGTTGATTAGTGAATCCTGCCTGGTTCATCGAGTCTACACCCCCAACACATGCAATAGGAATGACTCAAAACTCATACCGGAAATATGAAAAATACTATACTACCAATCAAGTCAAGCGACGGAAAATAATGGAATCATATAAACGAAGTTCAAAAGTTCTGTGAGTGAACAGCTTGATATGATTATGAGTAGTAATAAACTGTGCTTGAAACGTTGTCATCAGTAAACATTACTGTATAACACACTGTCAAGACTTTATCAAAATAAATTTTACCCATAATGGAACTAAAAATTTCCTTGTTGAGTTTAGTCTGTATTTTAGATTATATATTGCATATTCTTCGCCTATCATGAATGATTGTTATTGTATGACCAATCTAGGGAGTATAAGATAGCTGTCGTATTACAATGTCCTATCGAACCAGTGATAGGAGGCAAATGATCCAGATATCGGTGTATACTTATTCAACGAGTAGTGTTAGCCGACATAAGATTTCCTTGAAAAAGGGTTACGAGTGGTCGAAACCAAAACATGGCTTCATCAGTCAATGATATCCATAACAGTTAGTTTAAGCAAACCATGTGGGGAGGTGTAGACTGCCTGACTGGTTGGAGTCCTAAAGATTCTAAGAACCAATGGTTAAAGACTTATGGTGATATGGCACAGATGGATTTTTCTCTTTCTAATCTCCCATGTCCTCAAATGTCCTGTTGTTTTTCCATGTTCCTATGCTTTCTCTCCTTTGAATCTTTCTATTTTTCCTTCTTTTCTCCTCCATTGCGTCTGTCTGTCTGTCTGGATTCAACATAGAACTTGACACCGAAGTGCACCAGTTCGAGTTGCCAACTTCCAAATAGCACACAGAGGTAGACAAGAAGATGAGTGAAGAGAATCAATACAGTCTGACAAGTAGAAGAGTGAAGCAGAATGGGTAATGGTAGAAAGGAATATGAAAGATTACAGAGACTGAATACATCTGCGCTGACCATTGACAACGATCACTTTGAGCCATGTCACACATTATCTCCAGCCATTGATTCCTAGAGTCCCGAGGGTCCCAACCCGGAAGTCTGCATCTCCCTACCTCCATTGCGTGCTATTATGTGGTGTGTGCCAATTTGAACTGGTGTATTTCTGTGTCATGTGTTCCGTTTTGAAACTCAGTCAGTTAGTCAGTGGTTTTTTGACATGCAAATTGCTCCCGTTAAATGTATGATGATACTTGCTACAGGACTGGACCCCATCCAATCCTGGTGTAAAGATAAACAGGAGCGAAGTGGTTGGTGTAGCGTGTTGACCAATCCACTTATTTGAGAAGTTGCATCAGTCAGCCCAGTGGGTTAATTGCTGAAGAAATCTCAGCATGGATACAGAAGGCTCGTTTCGCATGTGCCAGTTTATACCATCTCTGGCTTAGTAGACATGATATCCGACTGGTTGTCGATCAATGGACGGGTGTATTGCTGAGCCACAGTTCTTTCCGTCCTCCTTTATGACTGGCTGTGAGTGAAACCTGACTATTGAATGTGAAAGACATAAAAAGCCCGGCTAGTTGTCTTTGTTAATGGCTTTTTTTATTATAGCTTGATTCTACACCGTGCTTTTGGTACAAGTATGGAATTTTCAGCATGTGATATCGGTAGCCCAAATTTTGCTGGCCGACCATAGATATCAGGTGTTCGTCGGCCGGGGATCGAACCCCGGACCATGTGCATGGTCGGCAGGAGTCATAACCACTGTGCCACCGTTCTATCTCCATTTGTTAGGTGGTCTAACACAGTGAGTAATAATGAGGCGAGGCATCGGTCGATTGCTAGGTGAGTGGGTTGGAAAATCAATCGACGACATTGCATCCATTGAAGTGGTTACGACATGTGCTACGCATGCATCCCTCTCTAGCCATCGCCTTCCTCGACAGTCGGAAGGAACAGGTTGTAAAAGAGCTAGGTAGTGGAAGCTAAACCAAAGCATGGCTTCACCAATCAATCAACTCCATAATGGTTAGTTTAAGCCAGCCAGCCACATAGGGAGGAGTAGACTGGATGGCTACCTGGTTGGGGTCCTCGGGATGGTAAGAACCAATGAAGGCCAGAGACAATTTAGCGATATGGCTTAAGATTGTTCGCAATGGCTCATATTCATTCACCCTTTGTAATTTGCCAGTCATATCCAATAAAACTCCTCTATTGTTGTTCTTCCATATTACTTTTCTTTTTCCTTCACTCACACTTCTCTTTATTAACTGTCCTTTAAATCTGTCTTCTCTCGCTCTGTGTTGTGGTTCATGAAGGGAGCGTGCCAGCTCGAATCTGTGCACATGAGCGCAAAATTCTATGTTAAAATCAGACAGTCAGTCACCGGTTATTTGTGTGAATTCTCTTCTCTATATGATGATAGATTTGTATTAACTTGGTCGCCTCATGATTGAGGGGTCCCTAAATATGGCAAAATATTTTTTTCTATGTGTTCTATGCCTTTTGAAATGACCTCCTTTGATGAAACTGTTTCATCACCTGAATGTTGTAGTTAATCTTTATATAATCGTTTTGTCTTTAATCGATAATTATTTTGATTTCTCTTTTCTCTCTTTTTTTTTCTTTCCTCTTAACAAATTTTTAGCAGTTACAACAAAATCTGCGCCCTTCATTTACTCTGCAAAATGATGTAAGTTCTTATTTACATTATGCATGTATGTTGCGTTGTTTAAAGTAAACTAATTTTTTTTGCGCAATTATATTCACAATACGATTATTGATTCTGTAATAATAATTTTTTAGCTTCCATTCCTTTTATTATCCCCGCCTCCCCCACTTCGAACGTCTACCTCAACCTGAGCAACTAGGTAGTTTCTGAATCCTTCATACGGTAAGTGTGACTGATAACTTGGGGAGGGGGGCATAGAAGTCACCTGTCCCCGTGAATTGACTTCAAATAACATTGGCTTGATTCATCGATTCCATTTTAAATAAGTTTATTGTAAATATTACACACTAATGTAGTATTAACAATTGGCGCGTCATGAAAAGCTTTTCCAGTAGGTTGCTTCCGACTTTTAACGACAGCTGCCTGCACTCGATACTGAAGATCAAATGGCCAGCGAGGAAGAATTATTATATTATTATTATTATTGTTCCCTTGGGTTCCTAGTGGAATATAGGACTTCAACTGCACGTCTCTACTTGCTTCTGTCTTCTGCTCTACTTTTCACCTACTTCCATGTTAGTCCATACTGTTTCAACTCCTCTTCACACCATCTCCTCCTTGTCACCCTCGCACTGACATCCCACTTGCCGCTTGCCATTCTGTCGGGTTCCACTCGAGCAATGGCCTGACGCGCACGAGATGTCACCCAGCGGCCTCCTCAGCGAGTGTTCATCTCCATCCATCTCCACTTCCTCCTGCATATTTGCTGTTGGTTGGCGATTGGTTCTTGTTTTGTTTGTTAATGCCCATAGTTTCTTGTTGGTGATTCTTTCCGGCTCGCCCATCTGATCTGATCTTCAGTATAGATCCAGCGAAGACAGTTGTTGGTTGATAAAGGTCTGCAATAGCCTGTTGGAAATATTCTTTGTGACCCGCCCGCCAGGTTTCTGGTCCGTATAGAAGAACTGACTGACTTGACGTTGTTTGTATTGAAAATCGTACCGAATTTTGTTGTTGATGCTGAGTGACGAAGATTTCCAGATTGATTTCAGGTTGATGAATGTGTTTCTCGCCTTCCCGATTCTCGCTCGATTTGACATCCTCGTCTGTTCCGACTTCCTGTAGCTGAGACAATGCTCCCTAGATAAGTGAGTGAATGAAGTAACCTCTTTCAAATGTTCAGAAATGTCCTTCTTTCTGTTTTTCCAATGTAATTGCTCCCGACGGATACATGTAAATTTGTGTTATACAGTTGGAGTTTTTAACATGAGAAGGATATCTATCGATTTTAGATTGTCTAAAAATGAACTCTCTGTGCAAGTATGTTGAAATTGTTTCTGTAGATATACTTAATAATGACTTTGGCCTGTAAGCAGCTAGGGGATGAGAAGCCAACGCAATAAACAATGATGTTACCATCTTGTTATTCTGCACAAACCACTGTTGTTTTTGCTTTATTCAAATTCATAACGAGGAGAATAAATGTATGAAATTAATTAGTTGCTCAACAAATATGGTGATATCGTACTCAGGTTGTAAGAGACCGTTGAATGATATCGCGCACCAGGCCGATACTTCAGTGGAATCCGAATGGGAAAGCGCGATAATTGAACATCTTGTATTCACTAGTCACTCTATCTCAACAAACTCTTCCTTCAAAGTAGTCTACAAAGTGAAAAGCCATTTGCCAAATACGATCCGTTTTCGTTACCTTTGCACTGCTGAAATTCTTGACATCCAGATGCAAAAACCGGAGTTGTACATACCAAAGGAAGTCTTTCACCCACTTCTAACCGCTTTACCTATTTTGTTTCTCTGATCCTTTCTGATTCCTCATCAATCCCCGGCCTATAACTGCTACCTGGTCGTGTTGGTCGGGCTTGAATACCGTAATGACCCAACATGCTAAAGTGACTGGGACTCTGTCCCTGCAGGTCCTACCATGTCAGGAAGGTTGTTTGGATAGCGGTTAAACTAAAAGCAGTTATCACCATGGGGTACATGGGCTCCAGTATCCAATCGGATCAAATGGTGTATGAACCCATATGGGTCACCGTCAACCATGGGAACGCAGCTCCTGACGCTGCTCCGCTGTCTTGCGGATTAGACTCCAAGTCAAAGGCTCGGGAGGTGGTCCATTATTAAACCACCTGTTTCGGTCTGGGCGCCCGGGCAGTATCTCAGCCCTCACACAATGAATTAAATGAAGCAACAAACAATCAAGGAAACTTATCGCGTGCTATTACACGTGTTGCGATTTCCTTCTTTCTTCCCTTCCCGCGATGATAGTTAACGAATACTGCCTGAACTTGTTAAGCATGATTGTTTTCCTTCCAGATGAAGTTCTTTATCCGTTCTCTACTTATATATGTATTTTTTCTCTTCTTTCTTTATTTCTTTTGATCTATGTTGTTTTATTATTATTGTGTGGCGCATTTTTTTTGGTGCCATATTGTACCAAGTTTTTTCTGCGTTTAAATAAATAAATAAGATTCGTCAATCCTCCCGTGCCTTTAGATAACAGAATTTCCTTTGTTTCTATGTTCATCCTGATTACAACTCACTCATTAAATTATTCGTCTGATTACGTAATTCTATCGCCGTTAATCAACTTCTTGTATGTATTGATTAATATTAGCATTTATTCTTATAATGATTAATATCAGTAAAAAGTTTGAGCATTATGGATTAGATAAAATAAAGTATAATTATATTTCAATAGTTTACACACAATGATAACTGTTTTGTTATTGGTGATGATTCATCCATCCCTTCGTTACTCTCCACTATTGCGAAAAAAAATTGTATATGAATGCGATTGTACAGCTTTTTATTAATACTCGGATGAGAATTATTCACAATTATCGACTATACTATCAAGCAGTTTGAAAACTAATCTTTATGTACTAAAGTGCACTTATAATTAGTTCTATTGTGACTGTCTTCACAGTTATGCAAGTCATTACGTAATCACCTATTGCGTTTTAATTACGTTTGAGATTCATTTTGACTATTTGATGTTAACTCACATATCTGATGTCAATCTATTAACTGACTACTTGTTCCTGTAGGGTATCAGTCTTACTATTGAGGCCTTAGTGTTAAGTTTGTATTTCCCTGAATTGTTGTGTGTTGTTCCCCTCAGTCCTATCGATTGTTTCCACTGTTCACTGTTCATCACTTAACTGATTGGTTGTCAGTCTTCTCGATTACGTAAGAGTGTTGATGATTGTTATTTGTTCGTCATTATTTCTCTTACATGTTGGTTTATTTTTTCATGAACTACCAATAACCTCTGACCTTTTTTTTCCACTAATCTTGTATATATATATATATATATATATATATATATACCACTAAATAAATGTAGAGCCGACATATGTGATCCTCTGATGTTGTTGAGTGATTTTCTGAATTGACTAGGTCAGTTATTCAAGTCTTGTTTTAGCCTATTTGCTCTAAAGTATTTTCTATAGTTGGTTTGTAAGGATTAGTTTTGTTTCTTACGAGTTGATCACAGATTGATATCAGTTAGAGAGAACCATTGAAAACCAGCCACATGGAGTCCTGGACGGCTGTTTCATTCCACTAGTTTGAGAATCATCGGCAGTACGCATCCACTGCCAGGGTTAAAACCCAGGACCTTCCTCTATTACAAGGCAAGCAAGCTTGTTTTTACTATCCAGCCACTGTGGGACACGATTAAGTGACCAACTAGCCGATGAATTCTAACTTCTACCAATTCGTGACATAGCGTTGACCCCAACCAATGTCGTCGGTGGGACATCCATCCTCACACTTGACTGGATGCACCAATTGTAGAAAATTAATCTGATTGATGCTTGCTAGTGACTTGCTACAGAAGGGAGTTTCCTGGAGTTCTAGTGAGAAGTCGTCGCCTGTAAAGTCCATCCAGATGTCAAGTGTGAGGATGGATGTCCTGCCGATGACATTGGTCGGTAAATCACGGAATCGGCAGAAGTTAGAATTCATGGGCTGGCAGCCATTGAATAGAGTCTAAAATATTTCCAAAATCATCTTAGCAAACTGTATTTAACTAGTTTTTTTCTGTATCTGGTGTCAGAACTTCTCACTCTGCTGTTTGCTATCTTTAGCTAAAGAATATTGTCAAAACATGTTGCGTACATCATATTACGGATTTTGTAACTTTTTGTTTGATCGTATGTAAATATTAAGTATTAGGTGTTGATTTCCAAGGGTTAGATGATTGGTATAGCGGTTAGGACGCTCGCCAACCATGCACATGGTCCGGGGTTCGATCCCCCACCGACACATTCCTTTACCTCGCTGAGCCAGGAATAATGTTGGTAAAGAGGAAAGGTTGGGCATGAAGCTAGCAACCCCATCCTGTAAAATAAACACTGCTACCGAAACTTCAAGCCACTAGCTTGAAGGTGCCCTATGTTCCACTGGGAACGTGAAGAAAAAAAATTTGATTAGTTACAGATTTGATTACGAGATAACATCAGTTAGAGAACCATTGGAAAACCAGGGTGTACTTGAATAACTATTCTATCCTTGTCTCGGACTCTTCATCAGTGCGCGCCCATCGGAGTTCGGGTTACGAGTTTGACTCGTAGACTTTTCAACCACTGAGTCCTGATGCGATCACTCAGGAATTATAACTTCTGCTTATTTCCGATACATAAGCGCAACCGCCCGTCAATATCGTAGACTGGTAATTCACAGACCATTGAATTGCATCCCAATGGCTGGATAGTCTACGAGCTTGAATCGTAACCGGAGCCACTGTTGGTGTATACTAATGAGAGGTTCGTAGCCAAGACAAAATAGTTGAACAGTACTCCCAGCTGGTCTTTCCAATGGTTCTCAAGCTGATGTCAGCTCATAACCAAATATTTAATAGTTCGAATCCCTTCAGAAAGATTCTATGGAGTGCAGTAGCTGATCGACTGATAAGCGGTATGAACAAACTAAAGACAAGATTCACTTTGGATACATATATATATCCGTGTGTATGAATATCCAGCCAACGAATC